ATAGCTACCTATAAGTATATGTTCTTGATAATTAATCCATTCTTATGGTGGATTTTATTTTTCTTTCCTATTTATACAACTTTGGAGTAGAAAATATTTTTTTATTTAAATTACTTGAGTCACACTAATTGTCTCAAATATTTTCCACTTTTTAGTTCTCATTTTACATTTTAAATGTTGAATATATGTAAAAACTTTCAACCGATTTCATCACTCAGTCGCATTTCAAACACTTTTGAAGTATCTATAATGCCTTGTAATTATCTCCAGACACACGCTAACGATGAAGTTCAACAATCCAAAGCCGAAACAAACATAAAATTACATCTTTATTTGTATTATCTTTAGTGTTTCTAAAGGAATTTAATTGAGGATTAAAAATAGGTTAATTGAGTATGACACAAAAGTATATTAATTCAAAATTATCGACTAACGATTTAGACGTGATAAGCTTAAAATGTCACTTTGTCAATTCGATTTAAGAAATCTATAAATTTACGCTAAATTACCTTTAAAATTTTTAATGGATTGTCAAATTGGGATCGTGAGTGAACATCTATTTAGTCCTGAGATCTACTTAGAAGTAAACCAGGGGTCCTTTTTCAAATCTCAAGGTATTGAAGACTAAGGTGTGATCTCTTTTTATTCTCATATGTTTTGGGTGCAAGAAGATGTATCTGACAAGTTAGACTTCAAGAGATCAATTCATAAAGAAAACTTGTTTTGTACTCGAAACTTCACAATAATAGGTAATTGGATATAAGCAAGGAGGTAAATATATATATTCGTGAAGATGACTTTGCGGGTGTGGTTTATTAGCTAAATATTTTGAACTTCATCTTTTGATGTTTCTATCAGAATCTGATTAGAGTTAATAGAGGGTGCAAATGTTACTTACGAAGATGTCATTTCTTTATTTTAATTCACTAGCAGGAATAAAAGTCTATCAGAGATGATATAAGTTAAACAAATTGAGCACCTCAACTTCATGATTTTTTTGCTAAAACGCTACCACCGTAAATGAATATAATCTGTAAGTAACTATGATGTATAGGAAAAGCGGTTAAATGTCAATTAGAACCGGGAAGTAATTTTAAAAATAAGATGGAATCTGAGTATTTTTTAAATAATTGAATCATTTGATCAATTTTGAATGAATTTTGATGATTTTAATGGGATATTTCTAATGATTTCAGGTGGAACGTGACTCCCAGCTTGGTGGAGAGAGTGGAAACGTGGAGGACATGCTACTAAGCATGTTGGATGAGAGGGATCGCTTGATGGTTGGACTGAAAGAAGCTCGTGAAGAACTGCAGGCCAGCCAACTTCGTCTTCGAGATTTGGAAAAAGAACGCGACAATCTGCAAATCCAACTAACCAGCACTATTCCCGCCGTGGGTATTTTGTTTTAAATGATTTTTAACATTTTGAATTGAAAATAATATTTGCAGAATAAAAGATAACAGGATATTGCAACTGAAGTTGACGATTTTGGCAGATTTCACAATAAATTTAACATCGGGGAAATCTTTTAAGAAACCTTTCCAACATAAACGGGGCACTGTAGCGGATTGTTACGCTACTAAAGCCTGACCTGGTTAAAGACTTGTAGCGGATTGCTACCTTAGTAAAGCCAGACCGGTTGAGAATTGTAACGGATTGCTACCTTAGTAAAGCCTGACCGGATTGCATTGTAGCGGATTGCTACGCTAGTAAAGCCTGACCGAAATCTCTATGGCAGATTCTCCAACACCTAGCTAGACTCCCAGAACAGCTAAGCTATAGCTCCACGGATTGCTACGCTAGTAAAGCCTGACTGACTCAGAAATATTGCTACTCTAGTAAAGCCTGACTAACTCAGAAATCTCTGGCTACGCTAGTAAAGCCTGACTGACTCAGAAATCTCAATGGGAGATCCTCCTACATCTAGCTAGACTCCCAGAACCAGCTAAACACCTTAGTAAAGCCTGACTGACTCAGAAATCTCTATGGCAAGATCTCCACCATCTAGCTAGACTCCCAGAACCAGCTAAGCTATGGCCCAGCAATAAAGGAAACAGACGTGTAGCACGGAACACGCTTATTCAGTACGGGTATTGCGGATAAAGTGTACGCGCAGGGAGCTACTCATGATCAGGATGGGGGATTAGGTTAAACAGAGGTTGATGATTGGTCACTGTTTGTACGGTCGCTGCACACAGAGTTGAACGGCCGCACCTCCCAATCCTGGCGAGCAGACATGCAGGCATACGATGACGCACACAGCGATAACGTGTCATTGATCTCAGTGGAATTATTTGTTGCATTTTTGATGGAGATAGTTGTTATTGACCAAGGGAATCGATTTTTGGTTTGTGCCATCAATACAATTTGTACTTCTTTCTCACCCGCGAAATGGACTGATAGTGACAGTATCTAGTGACTATAAAAAAATCTTCGTAACTGTGGTTTCTTACAAATTCATTATATATATATATATATATATATATAAATATAAATTACTTGTACTTATTACAATATGATCTTTAGAGCCTCATTAATTTACTAATATGAAAGAAACTAAAGTTTGAAAGATTTTGGCATGTCCCCCGCGTCTGATAAATCAGATGGCATAAGACTAACGGCACACTTCCTGCGTTTTTAATAGCAATGTTTAATGTTGGCCAACAAGTTGGGTTGTAGAATGCAAAGTTCTCAAAAAAGTTAGCTTTTTGTTCTCCACCCCGGTAATAGAACTTCCCTTGGTGGGTCAAGTGGGTTTTTGTTGATAAGGTTGAAGAAGTGTAGTTGTGATGAAGGACCGGTTTCGACCAGTGGTCTAAATGTTGAATACCTTGCTTTTCCAAGTTGATTCTATAGAAGCATGAATCTCGCATTGTCATCAGAGATCGCTCCACCTTGAATATTTTCTACACATTTTCTATGACTTGATTTATGTGACAGGTGGTAGTAAATCGATTCAAGCACAAATGTCCCCATGTTGAATGCCAATCACTCTTCTGGCGTTTCGTTATTTCTTTGACAATCCCTGAATGTTACGTACCAGCATTCAGTCTGCCCCACACCAAGGACAATTTTAATAATTTAAAGAACAATGAATTTAAATGAAGTATTATGACATTTTCCACTTACATTTTTACTGGCAAGCTCTACTAACTTCGAATTTTGCTTATTCCATTTGTGCTATTAAGAGCATTATACCAAAGAGGATAATTTTTCTTTCTCAAAAATTAAATGAAACCCGACCAATAAGCACTACGCATCCATGAGATGCATAATTAAATTTGACTATTGGAATATGAACCGCTCATTTAGCAAATATTATGGAAGCCGAGTCCAAAAATC